CAGAAGCTATCGGAAGCCTGCATCCCAAGAAAGGGGAAAAAATTCATAGGCAGGAGTTGTAGACCAAGCTGGATAAGCAAGCATCTCAGAGAGGTGTTTAAGAAAAAGCAGAAAGCATACAGGGAGTGGAAGATGGGAGGGAACAGCTACCTTATTGAGGTCAGAGCATGTAGGGACAAAGTGAGACAGGCTAAAAGTCAAGTAAAGTTGGACCTTGCAAAGGGAATTAAAACCAATAGTAAAAGGTTCTATAGCCATATAAATAAGAAGAAAACAAAGAAAGAAGAAGTGGGACCGCTAAACACTGTGGATGGAGTGGAGGTTAAGGATAATCTAGGCATGGCCCAATATCTAAACAAATACTTTGCCTCAGCTTTTAATAAGGCTGTCAAAATTCCTTCCCCACTCTGAACTCTAGGGTACAGATATGGGGACCTGCATGAAAACCCCCCTAAGCTTATTTTTACCAGCTTAGGTTAAAACTTCTCCAAGGTACAAACCATTTTAACTTTTGCCTTTGAACTTTATTGCTGCCACCACCAAGCGTCTAACAAATATATAACAAGGAAAGAGCCCGCTTGGAAACATATATTCCCCCCCCACCCCCAAATCCTCCCAAACCCTACACCCCTTTTCCTGGGGAAGGCTTGATAAAAATCCTTGCCAATTTGCATAGGTAAACACAGAACCAAACCCTTGGATCTTAAGAACAATGAAAAAGCAATCGGGTTCTTAAAAGAAGAATTTTAATTGAAGAAAAAGTAAAAGAATCACCTCTGTAAAATCACGAGGGTAAATACTTTACAGGGTAATCAGATTCAAAACAGAGAGAATCCCTCTAGGCAAAACCTTAAGTTACAAAAAGACACAAAAACAGGAATATATATTCCATTCAGCAGAGCTTATTTTATCAGCCATTTAAACAAAACAGAATCTAACACATATCTGGCTAGATTACTTACTAAGTTCTAAGACTCCATTCCTTTTCTGTTCCCGGCAAAAGCATCACACAGACAGAGAGAACCTTTGTTTCTCCCACCCCCACAGCTTTGAAAGTATCTTGTCTCCTCATTGGTCATTTTGGTCAGGTGCCAGCGAGGTTATCCTAGCTTCTTAACCCTTTACAGGTGAAAGGGTTTTTCCTCTGGCCAGGAGGGATTTTAAAGGTATTTACTCTTCCCTTTATATTTATGACAAAGGCTAATGAGGATCTTAGGGATAATGGTAGCATGACAAATGGGAATGAGGATATGGGGGTAGATATTACCATATCTGAGGTAGAATCGAAACTCGAACAGCTTAATGGAACTAAATCGGGGACCCCAGATAATCTTCATCCAAGAATATTAGAGGAATTGGCACATGAAATTGCAAGCCCATTAGCAAGAATTTTTAATGAATCTGTAAACTCGGGGGTTGTACTGTATGACTGGAAAATTGCTAACATAGTTCCTATTTCTAAGAAAGGAAAAAAACGTGATCCGGGTAACTACAGGCCTGTTAGTTTGACATCTGTAGTATGCAAGGTCTTGGAAAAAATTTTGAAGGATAAAGTAGTTAAGGACATTGAGGTCAATGATAAATGGGACAAAATACAACATGGTTTTACAAAAGCTAGATCGTGCCAAACCAACCTGATCTCCTTCTTTGAGAACGTAACAGATTTTTTAGACAAAGAAAATGCAGTGGATCTAATTTACCTAGATTTTAGTAAGGCGTTTGATACGGTGCCACATGGGGAATTATTAGTTAAATTGGAAAAGATGGGGATCAATAGGAAAATTGAAAGGTGGATAAGGAATTGGTTAAAGGGGAGACTACAGCGGGTCCTACTGAAAGGTGAACTGTCAGGCTGGAGGGAGGTTATCAGTGGAGTTCCTCAGGGATCGGTTTTGGGACCAATCTTATTTAATCTTTTTATTATTGACCTCGGCACAAAAAGTGGGAGTGTGCTAATAAAGTTTGCGGATGATACAAAGCAGGGAGGTATTGCCATTTTAGAGAAGGACTGGGATATCATACAGGAGGATCTGGATGACCTTGTAAACTGGAGTAATAGTAATAGGATGAAATTTAATAGTGAGAAAAGTAAGGTCATGCATTTAGGGATTAATAACAAGAATTTTAGTTATAAACTGGGGATGCATCAATTAGAAGTAACGGAGGAGGAGAAGGACCTTGGAGTATTGGTTGATCACAGGATGACTGTGAGCCGCCAATGTGATGTGGCCGTGAAAAAAAGCTAATGTAGTCTTGGGATGCATCAGGCGAGGTATTTCCAGTAGAGCTAAGGAGGTGCCAGTACTGTTATACAAGGCACTGATGAGACCTCACTTGGCGTACTGTGTGCAGTTCTGGTCTTCCATGTTTAAGAAGGATGAATTCAAACTGGAACAGGTACAGAGAAGGGCTACTAGGATGATCCGAGGAATGGAAAACCTGCCTTATGAAAGGAGACTCAAGGAGCTTGGCTTGTTTAGCCTAACCAAAAGAAGGTTGAGGGGAGATATGATTGCTCTCTATAAATATATCAGAGGGATAAATACCGGAGAGGGAAAGGAATTATTTCAGCTCAGTACCAATGTGGACACAAGAACAAATGGATATAAACTGGCCATCGGGAAGTTTAGACTTGAAATTAGATGAAGGTTTCTAATCATCAGAGGAATGAAGTTCTGGAATAGCCTTCCAAGGGAAGCAGTGGGGGCAAAGGACCTATCTGGCTTCAAGATTAAACTCGATAAGTTTATGGAGGAAATGGTATGATGGGATAACATGGTTTTGGCAATTAATTGATCTTTAAATATTCATCGTAAATAGGCCCAATGGCCTGTGATGAGATATTAGATGGGGTGTCTGAGTTACTACAGAGAATTCTTTCCTGGGTATCTGGCTGGTGAATCTTGCTCAGGGTTTGCCTTATCAATTGGCTGAATAAGAAGTAGGTCTGAGTGAACTTGTAGGCTCTAAAGTTTTCCATTGTTTTGTTATGTAACAGTGCAGTTATGTAACAAAAAAAATCTACATTTGGAAGTTACACTTTCACGATAAAGAAATTGCACTACAGTATTTGTATGAGGTGAATTGAAAAATACTATTATCATTTTTACAGTGCAAATATTTGTAATAAAAATAATATAAAGTGAGCACTGTATACTTTGTATTCTGTGTTGTAATAGAAATCAATATATTTGAAAATGAAAAAAAGTCCAAAATATTTAATAAATTTCAATTGGTATTCTATTGTTTAACAGTGTGATTATATTAATCACAATATTTGAAATTGAAGTTAATTTTTTGAGTTAATCGTGTGACTTAACTGCAATTAATTGACAGCCCTAGTTTAGATCTGACTCTGACTGCCCTCCCTTACAATAAGTAGAACTCATGAGTAATCCCACTGAAATCAATGAGACTGTTTACACAGTAAGGTACAGTGATGTGTTCAGTCACAGAGATCCTCTTGGGACTGTCACCTGTGTGCTGAAATTATCTCTGAGCCCATTTTCTCTGCCATCTTGGGACTCCAGAACCCTGCCTTGTTGAGCCAGACATGCTAGCCTGCTGCAACACAGACCCAGGGTCTGGTCCATGCCCACAAAGCAGCAGACTTTAACTAAAAACAGCTCAGCAGGTTACCTGTCTCCAGCACCCAGACACCCAGCTCCCAATGGGATCCAAACTCCAAATAAATCCATTTTACTCTGTATAAAGCTTATGCAGGGTAAATTCATAAATTGTTCGCCCTCCATATCACTGATAGAGAGAGATGCACAGTTGTTTGCTCCCCCAGGTATTAATCACCCACTCTGGGTTTATTAATAAATAAGTGATTTTATTAAGTGTAAAAAGTAGGATTTAAGTGGTTTCAAGTAGTAACAGTCAGAACAAGGCAAGTCACAAAGTAAAATAAAACAAAACATGCAAGTCAGCCTAATACATTAAGAAACCAATGACAGGTTATATCTCCCCCTCAGAGATGTTCCAATAAGCTTCTTTCACAGACTAGACTCCTTCCTTGTCTGGGCCTAGTCCTTGAAAATGCTGTATGTAAGAACCTGAAACTAGGAACAATGCAGGTAAGTAGGGGTTTTCTCATGACTGGCAGCCCCTTTTGTCCTGCTCCACTCCCTTCTATAGCTTTGGCACAAGGTGGAAATCTTTTGTCTCTGCTTGTTCCGACCCCCACCTTTTAAATGGAAAAATACCAGATTTAAGATAGATTTCATTATCATTTCTTCCCACACCCATGTCTTTCTTTAAGTACCCAAACAGAGAAGAATGGTTGGAATAGCACAGCCTCTCACTATTTTGTCCACCAATTAGGCCTAATATCTGACACCCCAATTTTGGTTCATTAATTTCCGGACCCACATTTTCTTGTCTGCCAAGCATGATCATAACACAGTCCTTGAGTTATATCAGTGGGCCTTTTTGTTTAGATTAATTTTAGTCTGTCTCCCTTTCATACCTTTTCCCATCAACATTTTGTTGTTATAGGTTATTGTGACAACTTATGAATTTTTACATACTTTTTACAGTTGAGCTCAGAATTAGGGTAAATTTGTAGGCTCAATTATCAAAATATTCCTTCCCTCTAATTAGGAGAGGGGTGGGACTGTACTAGTGGCTTGGCACATCTGAAATATTCTAATATATATCCAGGTATCTTTCATTATATAATGCACAAAACTCTTTAGATTAGCCCTTAAAACCTCTTGATAAAATAAAAATCATGCATTTGATTGCATCTTCATTTCTTTCATATGCTTAAGTGAGGAATGTGTTTTACTAGGGCAGACATTAGATGTGTACGGTAATAAGAAAATTCTTGAGAGCTTAGGTGCCATAGGCATTATATTGGTCCTCTGCCCATGGGTGAATTGTTCTTTTGCCAGTTGCCATGTTCCTTTATAATAAAGAATGGCAGTTGAATTGCTGCTTCCTGGAAAAACAATTGCGTGTAACCTGGTATTAACATGTTGCTTTGTTTACTCTAGATACACTTTATACTGCTGTTCAGCCGACAAGGGAAATTAAGACTTCAGAAGTGGTACATAACGTTACCTGACAAAGAGAGGAAAAAGATCACCCGGGAAATTGTTCAGATTATTCTGGCTCGCAGTCAAAAGATGAGCAGTTTTGTCGACTGGAAAGACCTAAAGCTAGTTTACAAAAGGTGTGAGTAGTTTTATAAGAATAAAGTAAGTGTGTGTGTGTGGTATGTATAGAGAGACACACACACACCGATCCCCCCCACCCCCCATCTTATAAATGCTACTAGGATGAAACACATGAGGAACAATGAGTGCCATGAAGGTTTGAAAATGCTGTATGTAAGAGCCTGAAACTAGGAATAATGCAGGTTGATTCTAAACAAAATCAGCTTGCCTTTTCCCCATTCCATAAATTGACACAGTAAATTGCCATTAGAAAAAATACTGGTGTTGCTTACCACTGAAGAAAAATGATTGACTTGATTGACAGTTTAAATGATAGAAGATGCTATGCCTAGCTAATCTTGCTAATTTAAAGGTATCGTGCTGAAAAGCATGTTGTGCTTTGTCAGTGTATTGCAAGGTTACATGCATGGTATGGAGGAGCCTTCTGCCAAATCATATCTTTGAAGTATTTACCATTCTGGAACTTGTATCTTCCCCAGGTATATGAGCCTTAGTGATAACAGGCTTATCCTTGCCTTTATAGTTGCAAGGGAGAAATGAAGGCCCTAAAACAGAAGTCCACCCTTATTCAACAGAGCACTAAAAATAATAAGTATGTTCTTAAGAGCTTTGTTGAAAAGGGATAGATGGACACAGGTTTAGATGCTTTGCTGAAATGGTGCTCTAGCCACTACCCTGGGAAGAATGCTCAGGTGGTTATTCTCCCACCGCCCCACCCCCCATGAAGCTGGACTAACTAAATATAATCAGTACCAATCAGTAGAAAGAATTGATCAGCATGAGTAGTTACATGTAATCTGTTTCTTGAAATACACATAAATTACCCTATTAACCATTTGGTAGCCTGAATAGTAGCCCAATGTTTGTTCTTTCTGTGCATATTTTTTTTAAAGCACAACATTATTCTACATTCTAAAACAATACACCTACAGTAGGGGCTACTGCAGCATTTGGGGAGAATTTTGTCCCTTACCAGTTGTTGTTTTTATGCATAGTCCTGAAGCTTAAACATTGAGGAGGTATTCAACAAATCCGCTCAGCTTTTTTACAAAAAGAATAATTCTTTCCTGTTGTTAATATATTCCTTTTAAAAGAAAGGTGCTGAGAAAGGAAAATCAATTCACCTGTTAAGCTACAGCTGCACTAGAGAGTTCACAGCAGCAGAGTTGTACCGGTGCAGCTGCACCACTATAAGCTCTCTGATGTAACTGCTCTAAGCCAGTGGGAGAGAGCTCTCCCGTCAGCTTAACTACTCCAGCCCCATGAGCAGCTGTAGCTATGTTGGCAGGAGAAGCTCTCACAATGACCTGCGCTTAGGGCAGCATGACTTATGATGCTAAGGGCGGATGGCTTTTTCCCACCCCTGAACAACATAAATTATACCACAGTGAGTGCTAGTGTAGACCTAGCCTTACTGTAGCGAACAGACTTGCATAGGCAGGGATATGAACCAAATTATCTCTGTGATTGAGTTATTACTTCATGTTTTACCAAGCACTAACCCATTTTCATTTTTATTTTTGTAGGTATGCTAGTTTATATTTTTGCTGTGCAACAGAAGACCAGGATAATGAGCTGCTGACACTGGAGGTTGTTCATCGTTATGTAGAACTACTGGACAGGTATTTTGGAAATGTAAGTTTCCTTTTCTTCCTTAAGTTAGTTATGATGATTTTTGCCCTTTAGTTGTTTACCACAAAGTCAGGCGTGAAAATCTCTGTAGCTGCTCTTACTCATCCTTTCCCTCTGCCTTGCTTGCACCATGTCCACACATCCAGCATTAGGTGGATGTGACAGTAAAATAGTGCCCAGGCTATTATAAGCAGTTAATGTTCCATAATGTGCCCGTCCAAAAAGAGAAGCCAATCCTGACATTTCACATGCCACTTCTCTTTCCAGGGGAGATGATATCTAGAAAGTTTGGGGAAAAATCAGCAAAAGAATTTTAAAATGGTGGAGGGAGGGGGGAGGATTGTTTTTTGGTTTTGTTTTAAATTTTCAAAAATGACCTGACTTTTTTTAGCTCATATCAAGCAACAAGAAACATCGCATGAAGGCAAGACATCAGCAGGGTGGTGGTGGTTGTGGGGGGCATAATGAGGGTGATATGAGCCAGGGGACATGGAGATGGTCTATTGGAGGCATTAGGTGCTACAGGAGACCCCCTTTTATGAATGTTTTCTACCATGTTCTCTTGAGCAGTTGATTTTTCTGACTCCTCCTTAACATAAGTCATTGTGCTGTGTCTTCCATTGTCTTTTTGTTTTTGGTCTGTCAGAGACTGTAAGATGTTTGGGGCAGGGAATATGTCTTACTCCATGAAACGACTTTTTATAAGTATTCTGTAACAGAGTGTTTAAACAAATCTGTTTATACTTGGTCTCTGTCCAGAGAAAAATATGATTTCACTAGTGCTGAAGTTGTGATATCACTTAATACTCATATTTCTATTTCTTTCTTTACTGTCTGCCACAAGAGTGCATACGTTGAATAGGTTTGGCAATCTGTATGCTTTAGGAATGCTAATACATATAATGCTATAATATTGTGCCTAAATGTGTATTTTGCTTCATCAGGTGTGCGAGCTGGATATTATCTTTAATTTTGAAAAGGCTTATTTTATTCTTGATGAGTTTATAATGGGTGGAGAAATACAAGAAACATCAAAGAAATCAGCAGTGAAAGCCATAGAAGATTCTGATATGTTACAAGAGGTAAGGCAGAGGCAGACAGCAGAGGCGCACACCTCACTACAGTTGTTCTGTCTGATAGGACTAGTGTTTGATATCCCAACATGTCTGAAGTTTAGTAGTATGAGGTACAAAATGTATAATTACAAAAGGTGGCAACATATAATACCCTTAGTTCAACCCTCTGGCATCCTGTGATATGGTGTCAAGTTATTCATATGCTATCCCTGGCTACTTTGCAAGGAGGTTAATCAGTCATGTCAGTTGCTAGATATTAGACACTGCATTAAGGATTTGTTTTATATAATTTTTAAATGATGTTTAACACATCAAGGTAGAGAGCCTGAATGTTTAAGTTTATTTGGTTGTTTTTTTTATTGTTTCATTAATAAATTGACAAATGACCTACATGGTCATATCAAAATCAGCACAAGTATGTGCTGGTAACCTCCACTTTGTCCATAACTAGACCACGTAATGGTTCATACAAGGAATAGGTGTGAGACTTGTATTCAAAAACCTGCAGGAATGAGCTTCATTTTTTTACGTTGTAAATTACCTGAGGAGCCGAGAATGGTAAGAACTGGCAAACGCTATGGGTGATTCCGTTTTCAGGATGATCATTAGCGTGGAAAAAATGAGGCTGGTAGAACTAGTTAGGGAAATACTACGATACTACATGAATAGGCCCTTTGCAGTTTTTTCCCCCGCCGGCTTTTTCAGTACAAGCTGGTATTTGCACATAGAATCATAGAATATCAGGGTTGGAAGGGACCCCAGAAGGTCATCTAGTCCAACCCCCTGCTCAAAGCAGGACCAATTCCCAGTTAAATCATCCCAGCCAGGGCTTTGTCAAGCCTGACCTTAAAAACCTCTAAGGAAGGAGATTCTACCACCTCCCTAGGTAACGCATTCCAGTGTTTCACCACCCTCTTAGTGAAAAAGTTTTTCCTAATATCCAATCTAAACCTCCCCCACTGCAGCTTGAGACCATTACTCCTCGTTCTGTCATCTGCTACCATTGAGAACAGTCTAGAGCCATCCTCTTTGGAACCCCCTTTCAGGTAGTTGAAAGCAGCTATCAAATCCCCCCTCATTCTTCTCTTCTGCAGGCTAAACAATCCCAGCTCCCTCAGCCTCTCCTCATAACTCATGTGTTCCAGACCCCTAATCATTTTTGTTGCCCTTCGCTGGACTCTCTCCAATTTATCCACATCCTTCTTGAAGTGTGGGGCCCAAAACTGGACACAGTACTCCAGATGAGGCCTCACCAATGTCGAATAGAGGGGAACGATCACGTCCCTCGATCTGCTCGCTATGCCCCTACTTATACATCCCAAAATGCCATTGGCCTTCTTGGCAACAAGGGCACACTGCTGACTCATATCCAGCTTCTCGTCCACTGTCACCCCTAGGTCCTTTTCCGCAGAACTGCTGCCTAGCCATTCGGTCCCTAGTCTGTAGCTGTGCATTGGGTTCTTCCGTCCTAAGTGCAGGACCCTGCACTTATCCTTATTGAACCTCATCAGATTACTTTTGGCCCAATCCTCCAATTTGTCTAGGTCTTTCTGTATCCTATCCCTCCCCTCCAGCGTATCTACCACTCCTCCCAGTTTAGTATCATCCGCAAATTTGCTGAGAGTGCAATCCACACCATCCTCCAGATCATTTATGAAGATATTGAACAAAACCGGCCCCAGGACCGACCCTTGGGGTACTCCACTTGATACCGGCTGCCAACTAGATATGGAGCCATTGATCACTACCCGTTGAGCCCGACAATCTAGCCAGCTTTCTACCCACCTTGTAGTGCATTCATCCAGCCCATACTTCCTTAACTTGCTGACAAGAATACTGTGGGAGACCGTGTCAAAAGCTTTGCTAAAGTCAAGAAACAATACATCCACTGCTTTCCCTTCATCCACAGAACCAGTAATCTCATAGGGTAACAGGGTGAAACAGCAGGAGAAACCAGTAAACATGCTCATAGGGTAACAGGGTGAAACAGCAGGAGAGGGTTGAGTGGCCTGTGCATAACTCAGCATGGATTTAAAGGGGGTGGGGTGAGAGGCAAGGAGAAAGGCGTCTGCTTTGGTCAAAGGAAAAGCTTTGTTTTGTGTTTGAAGAATACTCTCTGCCCTGGAGCAAGGGCCTGAGGGAGGCATGGGCAAGACACTGGTTCTTTCCTGGGCTGTTGAGGAGCCCACCAGCTTGCAGTAGTGGCACGTATAAAAGGCCAGCTAGATATGGCAACTACATGTGCAAGTTAGATGCTCAGTCTAACTGGGTTTTAAAGTATTATTATTGTATCTATTTAATTGATTAGTGTTTGTTCATAGGGCCTGGATCTGATGGAAATAAATAAATAAATTCCAACCCTGTTCAATGGGAACAGGTCAGGTCCTTACTGTATTTCATAGTATTTTACAATCTGTAATACCTCACTTGCTATTTTTTTTTTCCAGACAATGGAGGAATATATGAACAAACCTGCATTTTAACTTTAAAACCTTCTGGAGGGACAGAGATGCTGCTTACTATCTGTAAAATTCACTTGTTGAAATTGCTTTTCTATGTGCCAGATCCTCTGAGAAATACCAAAAACCAATAACTAAAGGGATTTGTGTAGTAGTCAAAATGAAGGTCAGCTCCAGTAGTGTATATTGTTCTACCTAGGAGTTTCTTAAAACTGTTATTACACTTAATCTAGCCACTATCCTCCTCCTAGACTTAAAAACTAGTTTTATACAATGGCTTTTAGCTATGAACTTTTCAGTCGCAGAAAATATTTGCAAAAGATATTTATACTAGTTTTGATCCATCACTGATTGCATCAGTATACTTTTGTAATAGTATATTTTTTGAATGTAATGATTATTCTGGTCTAATACTAATAATTTTTCTTAAAAGCTGAGTTGTTTTTTTTATGGAGTCTGCTTTGAAGACGTGTTAACACTTAAAATGCATATGCATCTCTTCAGCTCACCCTCTCCTGCCACTTCCTAGTAGGAGTACTATCTTCCTTCTACCACCGGCTCTTCCACCCAATAAAAGGAGAGCACTTCCACCCCCTAAGCACACCACCTCCACTTAGTACTAGAAGCCCACATTCCTAGTCTAAGCCCTGGTCTACACTAGGACTTTAGGTCGAATTTAGCAGCATGAAATCGATGTAAACCTGCACCCGTCCACATGATGAAGCCCTTTATTTCGACTTAAAGGGCTCTTAAAATCGATTTCCTTACTCTACCCCTGGCAAGTGGATTAGCGCTTAAATCGGCCTTGCCGGCTCGAATTTGGAGTACTGTGGACACAATTTGACGGTATTGGCCTCCGGGAGCTATCGCAGAGTGCTCCATTTTGACCGCTCTGGACAGCACTCTCAACTCAGATGCACTGCCCAGGTAGACAGGAAAAGAACCGTGAACTTTTGAATCTCATTTCCTGATTGGCCAGCGTGGCAAGCTGCGGGTGACCATGCAGAGCTCATCAGCAGAGGTGACCATGCAGAGCTCATCAGCAGAGGTGACCATGATGGAGTCCCAGAATTGCAAAAGAGCTCCAGCATGGACTGAACGGGAGGTACGGGATCTGATCGCTGTATGGGGAGAGGAATCCGTGCTATCAGAACTCCGTTCCAGTTTTCGAAATGCCAAAACCTTTGTCAAAATCTCCCAGGGCATGAAGGACAGAGGCCATAACAGGGACCTGAAGCAGTGCCGCGTGAAACTGAAGGAGCTGAGGCAAGCCTACCAGAAAACCAGAGAGGCGAACGGCCACTCCGGGTCAGAGCCCCAAACATGCCGCTTCTATGATGAGCTGCATGCCATTTTAGGGGGTTCAGCCACCACTACCCCAGCCGTGTTGTTTGACTCCTTCAATGGAGATGGAGGCAATACGGAAGCAGGTTTTGGGGACGAAGAAGATGATAGCTCACAGCAAACAAGCGGAGAAACCGGTTTTCCCGACAACCAGGAACTGTTTCTTACCCTGGACCTGGAGCCAATACCCCCCCGAACCCACCCAAGGCTGCCTCCTGGACCCAGCAGGCGGAGAAGAGACCTCCGGTGAGTGTACCTTTTAAAATACTATACATGGTTTAAAAGCAAGCATGTGAAAGGATTACTTTGCCCTGGCATTCGCGGCTCTCCTGGATATACTCCCAAAGCCTTTGCAAAAGGTTTCTGGGGAGGGCAGCCTTATTCCATCCACCATGGTAGGACACTTTACCACTCCAGGCCAGTAACACGTACTCGGGAATCATTGTACAACAAAGCATTGCAGTGTATGTTTGCTGGCGTTCAAACAACATCCGTTCTTTATCTCTCTGTGTTATCCTCAGGAGAGTGAGATATAATTCATGGTCACCTGGTTGAAATAGAGTGCTTTTCTTCAGGGGACACTCAGAGGAGCCCATTCCTGCTGGGCTGTTTGCCTGTGGCTAAACAGAAATGTTCCCTGCTTTTAGCCACAGGGAGGGGGGAGGGTTGAGGGGGTAGCCACGCGGTGGGGGGAGGCAAAATGCGACCTGTAACGAAAGCACATGTGCTATGTATGTAATGTTAACAGCAAGGTTTACCCTGAAAGAGTGTAGCCACTGTTTTATAAAATGTGTCTTTTTAAATACCGCTGTCCCTTTTTTTTTCTCCACCAGCTGCATGTGTTTCAGTGATCACAGGATCTTCTCCTTCCCAGAGGCTAGTGAAGATTAGAAAGAAAAAAAAACGCACTCGAGATGAAATGTTCTCCGAGCTCATGCTGTCCTCCCACACTGACAGAGCACAGACGAATGCGTGGAGGCAAATAATGTCAGAGTGCAGGAAAGCACAAAATGACTGGGAGGAGAGGTGGCGGGCTGAAGAGAGTAAGTGGCGGGCTGAAGACAGGGCTGAAGCTCAAATGTGGCGGCAGCGTGATGAGAGGAGGCAGGATTCAATGCTGAGGCTGCTGGAGGACCAAACCAGTATGCTCCAGTGTATGGTTGAGCTGCAGCAAAGGCAGCTGGAGCACAGACTGCCACTACAGTCCCTGTGTAACCAACCGCCCTCCTCCACAAGTTCCATAGCCTCCACACCCAGACGCCCAAGAACGCGGTGGGGGGGCCACCGGCCAACCAGCCACTCCGCCACAGAGGATTGCCCAAAAAAAAGAAGGCTGGCATTCAATAAATTCTAAAGTTGTAAACTTTTAAAGTGCAGTGTGGCATTTTCCTTCCCTCTTCCACCACCCCTCCTGGGCTACCTTGGTGGTCATCCTCCTATTTGTGTGATGAATGAATAAAGAATGCATGAATGTGAAGCAACAATGACTTTATTGCCTCTGCAAGCGGTAATCAAAGGGAGGAGGGGAGGGTGGTTAGCTTACAGGGAAGTAGAGTGAACCAAGGGGCGGGGGGATTCCATCAAGGAGAAACAAACAGAACTTTCACACCGTAGCCTGGCCAGTCATGCAACTGGTTTTCAAAGCTTCTCTGATGCGTACCGCGCCCTCCTGTACTCTTCTAACTGCTCTGGTGTCTGGCTGCGTGTAACCAGCAGCCAGGCGATTTGCCTCAACCTCCTACCCCACCATAAATGTCTCCCCCTTACTCTCACAGATATTGTGGAACACACAGCAAGCAGTAATAACAGTGGGAATATTGGTTTCGCTGAGGTCTAAGCGAGTCAGTAAACTGCGCCAGCGCACCTTTAAACGTCCAAATGCACATTCTACCACCATTCTATACTTGCTCAGCCTGTAGTTGAACAGCTCCTAACTACTGTCCAGGCTGCCTGTGTACGGCTTCATGAGCCATGGTATTAAGGGGTAGGCTGGGTCCCCAAGGATACATAGAGGCATTTCAACATCCCCAATAGTTATTTTCTGGTCTGGGAATAAAGTCCCTTCCTGCAGCTTTTGAAACAGACCAGAGTTCCTGAAGATGCGAGCGTCATGTACCTTTCCCCGCCATCCCATGTTGATGTTGGTGAAACGTCCCTTGTGATCCACCAAAGCTTGCAGCACTATCGAAAAGTACCCCTTGCGGTTTATGTACTCGGCGACTTGGTGCTCCGGTGCCAAGATAGGGATATGGGTTCCGTCTATGGCCCCACCACAGTTAGGGAATCCCATTGCAGCAAAGCCATCCACTATGACCTGCACATTTCCCAGGGTCACTATCCTTGATATCAGCAGATCTTTGATTGCGTGGGCTACTTGCATCACAGCAGCCCCAACAGTAGATTTGCCCACTCCAAATTGATCCCCAACTGACCGGTAGCTGTCTGGCGTGGCAAGCTTCCACAGGACTATCGCCACTCGCTTCTCAACTGTGAGGGCTGCTCTCATCTTGGTATTCATGCGCTTCAGGGCAGGGGAAAGCAAGTCACAAAGTTCCATGAAAGTGCCCTTACGCATGCGAAAGTTTTGCAGCCACGGGGAATCGTCCCAGACCCGCAACACTATGTGGTCCCACCAGTCTGTGCTTGTTTCCCGAGCCCAGAATCGGCGTTCCAAGGCATGAACCTGCACCGTTAGCACCATGATGCATGCATTGGCAGGGCCCATGCTTTCAGAGAAATCTGTGTCCATGTCCTGATCACTCACGTGACTACCTCCTCGCTTGGCATCGCTTTGCCAGGTTCTGGTGCTGCATATACTGCTGGATAATGCGTGTGGTATTTAATGTGCTCCTAATTGCCAAAGTGAGCTGAGTGGCCTCCATGCTTGCCTTGGTATGGTGTCCGCACAGAAAAAAGGCGCGGAATGATTGTCTGCCGTTGTTCTGATGGAGCGAGGGGCGACTGACGACACGGCTTACAGGGTTGGCTTCAGGGAGCTAAAATCAACAAAGGGGGGTGGCTTTACATCAAGGAGTATTTCAGGCAGGACTTCACGGAGGGTTCCAATAAGAAATGGTGCACCTAAGTTATTGTTCTTATTGGAACAAGGAGGTTAGCCTGGCCTCTGATTGATACATGGCTAGATTTACCTCGCTGCACCTTCTCTTTGAGTGACTGCAGTGTGACCTAAAGGAATGAGTCCCCCCATTTCCAGCACAAATCCAGGTTTTCTCACCCTCCGCCCCCCCCCCGAACTCACTCTCCAGCAGGAGAGTGAGTTTGTGTGTGTGGTTTTTGGAAAAAGGGGGGGGGGGAGGTGAGAAAACCTGGATTTGTGCTGGAAATGGCCCACCTTGATTATCATACACATTGTAAGGAGAGTGATCACTTTAGATAAGCTATTACCAGCAGGAGAGGGGGTGGGAGGAGGTATTGTTTCATGGTCTCTGTGTATATAATGTCTTCGGCAGTTTCCACAGTATGCATCCGATGAAGTGAGCTGTAGCTCACGAAAGCTTATGCTCAAATAAATTGGTTAGTCTCTAAGGTGCCACAAGTACTCCTTTTCTTATTTCATTCTAATAGGCTTCTAAGTTAAGAGACTTTTTCCTAGTTATTAAGTTTTTCTTTTCTCTATTTCATCACATTATTCCTCTCTAGAGCCTTTCCAAATTATGAAATTATCTTCTATATAATTTAGGGAATTCTTTAATCTCTGTGTATTTGTCACCCAAAAGTACAGGTTTGATTTCCCCAATAATGTATGGTTTTTTTCTCCTTCACTTCTAATCTTCTTGGCAGAATGGTAAAAGCCATATTTCAGTTCCTTTTTCATCATTAAACTTTTTGAAGAATTATTCTAAATATTTCACTGCTACCCCCTTCAGAGTCTATTTGTATCTTACTGGTTTTCTAAATACTTTGACATACAGTACCAACTTTGTTAATTACCATCCCACTTCTTTTCTGTCTGTGTTATCTAATTTGTTAGTCAAACTTGTGAGTAGTCAGTTGGTAGTATCATACTGCTCACTTGTTCATTACTGTAGCCATCTGTTTTCTCCATATTGATGTCAAAGTGATACTTCCAATACCATGGAAAAAGTGAAAACACTGCAGGCTTTAAATAGCTTCAGAACACTGGTTTTAACATTCAAGTACGTGAAACTGGGTGACTGCATATTATTTCATCGTGGTTTGAAATGCAGGAATTTAACAATAAATTCAGTATTTTTAAATCAGTTCATACTGTGTACAGATCTTTTAAAATACTGGCTATTCAGATTAAGTGACTTTAATTTGAATCATAATTAGTTTCCTTTCTTCTCACTTATTTTATGCCAATTTGTGATACTCTTACACACATTGATTAGTACTTTATTCCTCAAGCAGTCTCAGTGAGATCAAATGGAGCAGCTAAAGGGCTAAGATACTCTTACACTGATTGAGTAATATCAAAATCTGGCCCTTATGGTCGTTCTAAGAAGGAACATAAGGCTTCACCTACTGCTTTACTTTATCCTGCGTAGCAATAATAAGAGACCTGGAGGGATGCTTATGAAGAAGTATTAATCTCACTAGTAGAGAGCTAGGTGCTTGTATAGCCCAGATCAGCATCATATCTGAGTTAAATAATGTGGCCTAATTTCTCTGCCATGCCCAGTTTGGGGGACTGCAAGAAGGCTGTTTGTGGCTCCCTTACTGTCAGGTTGCATCTACCCTATACATGCTATAGACACTGCATAGATTAGCACTTCATGAGGTGCTGTGGTTTATGCTAGCTAACTGCAGCTCCCAAGGGGCCAGCTGAGGGTTGCTGAAGTGCAGTGTGCTCCAGCCTCAGTCCCTTCCCACCAATAATACCCTGTACACAAGGGCTACAGAATGGGAACAATAGAGGCTGCAAATGCCTAGCTCTCTGGCCTGCTGTGAACTCATCAGCAGATGGAAACCAGCTACTTTCCACTGGTGCTAGGAGCTGAACTTTGTCCACATGGTGTGGCTAAGTAATGATTAATGGGGAGGCACAAGTCTACAGCTATCAGCATATGAAGGTTTTAAACAACGAAGAGGAAGAGACCCTATTTAGAATGGTATAGGTGGGTTACAACTGGATGGAATGGGAACAAGTTATTTTTCAGAAGGATTATGGAACGTTAGATTTATTTCACTTTCTGTACAGTGTCAGTAACTCAGATGACTTAATTCATATTGTTACATAATAGCAAAAAACCCCAAATACATTGTAGAATCACTTTTAGGCCCTATGCTGCAATGCTTTGTGGGTAGGGGTGTCCCTTTTCCTACAGAGAGCCCCACTTCAGAGGGACCCTATACAGATGCAGGGACTGGGCTGCACTCAGTGTATTGCAGGGTTGGAGCCTTAATATCTCATATTAGATTTGATCTTGGTTATTCTTAAAATAGCCAAGGTACAAAATTACAACTGTCTTAGTGTTGCCCAATTTGACAGTATTGGTAGTTACCCTACTAAATTTCAATCTCTCTGTATGTTCCATCCAATAGAAAATGTCCGATTTAAACTTTACTAAGTCTATGAGAGACTGTTTGGTGTCATTACTGACTGATTATCAAACAGTTATCAATAAAACAGGAGATAAGTAACACTGATACTGCTTGTAATAACCAGCCTATATACCAAGATAAAATGCAGTTATCTGAATTCTCCGTGCTGAAGAACTTAGCGCTCATATAGCTTCAAAATAACCATTCAACACGGGCATGTTTTGGCCTAGATTTCTTTCTTTGCTGTTGCTGGCTGTGTTGACTATAAGCTTTTCCATTTTCTTATTAGCATTCTCTGCCTGTGGGATTCTTCCTGTGATCTGTTCATCTACCAGTGGTGACAGGGCTGGTTCTCTGCTATGCAGCTAATTGTGACTGGTGGGCTGGGGCATCAATGAGTGTAGCAGGGCAGTTAGAGTTATATATCAATAACAGATATATTTCCATATTAAAAACTGACAATTAAATGCAATTGGGTGCGGGGGAGGGTGCCCAAGTATTACAAGACCTCATGAAGTCTCATGGATTCTTATTAGTTGTCACTGAATTTGTGGTTGGTATTTTGTTCCTCAATTTCTAGCTCATTGAAGTATATTGACTGTTTACACATATCTGGGTGGGAATCACCTTGATCGGCTACTTCCTACAAAGCGTGTGTTTAACAAAGGCCCTTTCAAATGGAGCTGTACCCCCCTCCCTCCCCTCCCCCCCCAAAAAAGGCTATGTGAAACAAAGTCTATGAAATGTGTACTCTTTTAAAAAAAACAACCAACAACCAGGAGGGAAAATATTTAATGTTTGGGTCCAGTTTTGGCTTTTGAAAATATTTGTTGGAGAGATGAGTATGAGGACTGAATTAATGGTTGGTTATTTATTTTATGGTCCTTCCAACAGGAAATGTATGGCTGAGCACTATCTTGTATAGAAGAAATACAACACAATA